TTCTAAAATGCATCAGTTATTAGAACACTATAACGCTATAATGAATACATATTATGTCACCAAATAAACTCTAAGTCTTCTCAAAAATACATGAAAACACGACTACAATATAGGTAAATGTTTACTATACAGTGTAATATAATTGATATAATTATTTATACACGCATAAAACATTAACGTTCTTTTCATGTTCCCATACTTTCTCTTTCTGGTATTCTGCTGCTGAGCCTACTCTTCTATTTACCTTCTGGTCGAGGTCGAACAACCCTACATTTAAAATGAAATGAAGCTGGACTTCAGACCATTTAAGTAAATTCACACGTCTCCACTCAAGCTACTGGCTCATAACCACTCAAATTCCATGAACGATCTCATGCTACCATTTGAAAAGGCTGGCCAACATTCTGTACAAGGAGTATTCATGATCTGAAATAAAGAAGCAACTGGTTTTCAAACGGTTTTCAATGTCTTACTCAACTTACGTGTACAGTCTGTCATGCAAAAACAAATGGTGCCAATGGAGAGTTCTAGAATCGACCTCAGGCCCCATTTCATGCAGTAAAACAATCCAACATGACCTTATCTAGCTTTCGTATCCACGATCAAATTTCTCTCCTGTTATAAAACTACGATAAGACTGCTGAAAAAATGGAATAAATATATCACTAATCTCAACATAATACATCAATAAACTTTAAGTCAAGGATGCTGTTCACAACAAAGTTATATAGGAGAATTGACTTCAAGCTTTATTTTTCCCAGATATTTGTATTACATTCATCTAATGTCTGGGTTTTTGTTAATGTGAAGACAATATTTCTATATCTCTTTATGTGTTACACAGACAGACTATTTAGCAGACTGTTCCGACTGACTCTAATGTCAGAAAGAACAACCAAACTGTAAATTCACCATACATCGAAATATGTGTAATTTATATAATGACTTATCCATGCCTGTACAATTGGTATGTTCCTGCATAAACAGGAACAAATATATATTACTATTATTAAGAGGCATTCATGGTCTGTTACTACCTCCTGCATCCCTACCAATGCAATTCGGCGTTAGAAAAATACAATGGTGGCTGCGAAGATGTAGGATTCTTCGAAGCTGAACATAGTTCTCGAACGACAAAGGGAAATCGTTGATTTGCCAAGGTACTTAAAAATTTCTGGCATCGAACTACCCCAGACTACCCTGGTCGTAACGGCCATTTCGGCAGATAGAGTTGCCAATGCATTAACGAATTCCACCATAGTACTGATGCTCCAGGAGATATGAAGACAATTTATTGTGGATTTTGTTGATTAAGATGATACCTGGGAAGAGCGTCTCCTACCTCAAAAATTGCATCCATTGGAATTCGACCAACAGTTCAATATGATTTCGCCCCAAAATCTCGCTTGACCTAACATTCGATGCCATACTACACACATCAAGACAACATTCTGGTGACCACTTGTTCTCTTCTCAATTCTTGATGTCTCCATCTCAAGCTAACCATGGACGAGAATGCTGATTTTCCCATGCATGTTGTTATCTTGAAACGAGGATATGGGCGCTTTAAGTCGAAAGAGACTACAGACAATCAATGTTAATCCCCCCCCTACTTATTCGCCGCTTTAGGTCTCCCAAATTCACCGACGTCGGGATAAATCTGTTGAACCACTTGGAGAGACAGCCGACCGATACTGCTGCAGGAAACCAACTGCTGGTCGACCTTCAGCTTGATGTCAGTGTACTGAACTTCACAGGACCTCTCCCATAGATGCATTAACCTCTGGCCAAACACCCTTCTCTCCCTGCCCCAACCATCCGTCATTCCAGTTGCTCATAAAACACCAAAGGATACCTGGAGAAGAAACCTTCATCATTCTTCCAACATTTTAGTGCCTGGTATTTCTTCAGATATTGTCGGTATTACCAACAATAAAATCAAGAGTGTAATAATGTTGAACATGGATGATTTTTACCAGCAACAAGCATAACGGCGCTTGCAACAGCTGTCCTCGATAAGTGGCTGCAGACGCCCTTTCCAACCAGCAAGTAAATCTCTTAGCATTAATTCTGCTTCTCATTCCAAAGTACCTGCCCGGGGTAAATTCATCAGTATTTTGGCGGAGTACCATTCAGTATGACTACAGACAGTCACGTCATCCGATGCCGCCGAAAGATTGTGGTTAAAAACCTAACTGCCCTCCCTTCAGAAGACGTCCTAGACTAACATCAGTGCGTTGATGGATGATTATCATTAACAGGGAAGTTCTGTCGTAAAGTTTTCTCCTACAGTACCACTAAGAATGCAGTTTTACCTCACGCACAATGGTCCGCAGACTGAGCTGAGCCATTAACAGAGAAACACTGAGAAATGGTAGAAGAGATCATTCACAGAGCAATCTCAGATACTGTCCCTCTAATCACACCACAACCTAGGAAGCAACACTCATGGCTGAAAAGAGGCACTCAGTGACTCTCCAAGAGTCAGACTGACCGTGAGGCATACTCGAAACTTAGGAATCTATGCCACTCAAGGGCCTGGGGTGGAAACGGGCCATTTCGGACGAATCTTAGTAAGAAACTCCTGGGAGTTTCACAGAGTCCTATCCTAAGGCCCCAAGTATTTTTGATTTTTATCAGTTACCTAACACGTCGTCTAGAATGCGCTGCTGTTCTTCACGCTGACGACGTAAAGATTCGGGGGTCGGCAAATTGTCCAGAAGACCCAGGCAGAACTGAAAATTCTGGAAGACTGGATACTGGTCCATGGAATGAATTCAAAATCAAAGTATGCCGAGCAGAGCAAGTGCGTACCTATGGGCCTTATAGTTTAAGTAACTACATGTGTAGGGATAATTCCTCCCTTATAACGCCCCGGCGCAACTTAGGCAACGTTCTAACGGAAAAGATGGATGCAATAATGAATTGAACGAGCGATTTAGCTGCGGCATACGCACTTATACACTTCACACACAGAAACTTGAGTGCACTCACTCCCGCGCCTTTTCTAAGGTTGTAAAAACAAACGTAGGACTGCGCCTTGAAGTGAGCAATATCATTGCTCTTGCTCTACTTAGAAGGGACGCCAGTAATTGGGAGAGGGTCCAAAGACGACGGACAAATGGGGTATAAACTATACGATGAGAGGCTAAAGAAATAGATCTCTTCACACTTAGCTACCTCCGGCTATGGGGTGACTTAATTACTGCCTATAAGATTACAAGTGACCAAAATCATCCAAACACTGGCATTCTCCAAATAAGTACGCATGGACTTCATTGTGGTGTTCCACGAAGGATAGTATATTAGAGAGCAGATGTCTGAAATGCACTTCTATCTCTCTATTCTTTGAGTTTGCTGCCCCTACCGGCTGTGTCTAGTACTATAATCGTGGAAGGCTTTAAGCGGAGGTTAGATAGTCATGCAGCTACAAAAAGACTTCATCCAAATGGACTTTCCCCTTTAAAACATACACCACACTACTACATCTGAACTCTTCCATTACCACTGCCCATTTTTACTTGTCTCAATCTTCTGACTACTCCGCCTATTCATTCACTCATTTCATTCTTATTTTAGACATTTTTATTTAGTCCACATAATCTACACTAATTATGGCTATTATTCATTATTACCTCTCTTTTTGACCGCACCGGACGATTAAAGGGTGAACGCGTAAATTCTATTCACAGAAGAGACACGGTCTTAAGACACTGTACACTACAAGCCACGTATAACCAGTCGTCTCACCACTCAACCTGGATTCAACCAAGGCTACGACAGTCAAGCTGCTTAACTAAATACGCATAATTTTTCTGGAACTTAGGAACATTGACCTTACAGCTAAAAGGCTAGCACAAAGAAGTGAATTTGGTTTACACTAGGATGTAAAACGGTGTTGGATATTAATTGAGCGGGTAATACAAGATATGGTGTTGTAAGCGCCTGATTTATAAGGAGTAAAATCCGGGAGTTTGTGTAGGTTTTTGATCTATTTCTGAGCAGCTTTCCGTTGACTATTTGTTGGGATAAGTCTAATATGCACTGGAGATGCTCCTGAGAGGATTTGTGTGTTTGTGTTAGGTGTTTGCGTGCACTTCATCATGCACCATCCGTCTAACGGCGAAGTTTAATTATCATAGCCAAAGTCAAGATCTTTCAAAAGTTAACCCTCAAGAACCAGTCATACACAGGGAATGCTATAAAATGTCATTTCAAATCAAACCATGCCTGCCTTTTTGGACTTGGAGAGAATAGATTCAGTGCTCTGCTAATTTATCAGGTACTTTTTCTGCAAATCTGTAGTATTAGGTAGGGTTATGGCTTTCAAGATTAAGGTTTAGGGTCTAAAGTTAAGGTTAGTTTTAGGGTTAAAGTTAAGATTATGGTTAGAGTTAGAAGTAGGTTAAAGAATAGTGTCAATGGGTTTCAAAGTACCATGATCTATAGTTACCTGAATTCTGATTTGTTGGTCAAAGTGGCTGTGGTAGTTTAACTGTGTCCGTCTGACGATTTCTAAATAGTGGATACATCACTCAATAAATGTCAAGTAAGTGGTTTGTATCGTCTTGGAGTGATGTGAGCTGTCATTTGGCCTTAGAAGAAAGAGAGAGTTTATTGAAAATTAGAGGTTTCAAATCAATCATTGGTTCCCCATGTTTTTTGTTCCATCTGTAATGTTTGTAATTCGACTTCAAATGGAGTAACCGAAAAATTTATGCTAATTGATTAGCTGCCACTGAAGACTACATTACTCAGTCTGTAATATTCTAAGTACATACAGAAAGAAAATAATAGCGTCAAGATTCAGTGGAGTTTAGGGAACCCTGTCCACTCAGTGTTACCCTCGAAGACGATTTTAAGTCACTTAGCTGCATTTTTAAGGCATAAAGCAAGACTATAGTCTTGATGTGTTTAATTACGACAGTTAATTAAAGTGTTGATGTTTTTTTTATTTTTCAGGTCCTATCATTATTAGAAGTGATGACTTTGTAAAAGTGATGACTTCTTTAAAATTATTGAATACATATCCAAAATGCTCTGGTTTGCTGTCACAAAATCTTCCAGCAGTATGTAAGCGGGAAATCTACCATTTTGGTCCTTCTTTTACACATAAACCACAGTCTTACAAGGAGAAGAGACTCGTAGGGTTAGTTCTCTTGATTTGTTCACAAAGTTTTTGGTAATATGTATTGAGCGATTGTTTTCTCTTTAATTTCTTCATCCTGACACTTGTAATACATCAATATTATCCCAAAGTTAGCTTGCTTTCAGTCCCAAAATACAGGGTTATTTATTTTAAGTACTACTTTTGCGGATACATGGGAAATGCATCAGTTTTGCACTATACTGTTTTTTGTTCCAGAAGTGTACTGTGAACCTGTAACTAGATGACGCAGTCCCATGTTTCCTTAGCTATTTAGTGAAATGCGCGAAGTTATTCTTTCTAAATAACAAGCGAACATGCACTTCGAAATCTAGTGTAAATGCCCGGACGTGGATTGCAAGGAAACAGTCGATTCATTTGTACTCACTAAGCTTAGTGATGTGACAGTTGAGGTACTTTTGTTTAGTTCTGAGTGACTAATTAATAGAATTCTCTGAACATGGTTTTTATCCTTGTTATTCCCGATCGAAAGCTGCTACCTTGACGTGGTGGTCGGGCTTGAACACCGCAATGACCCAACAAGCTATACTGGCTGAAACTTATGTCGCTTGAGGTCCTACCATGCCAGAAAGGTTGTTTGGATAGCGGTTAGACAAAAAGCAGTTACCCAACCCAATGCTATGACTCAAAGTAAATCACAAAATATCATGCCGGATCGGTCAGGGCCCGGATTAACAACGATCGCGCTTCCTGCTGCCGTGTCACAGGGCAGAAGTGATAAATATGCTACTGAGACACACCAAATGAAAAAGAACAAACAAAAACAGGCCGTGTGTGACCGGCCTCAAGCAGTTGTCCCCTGGGCTCTGCGGTCACGCAACCAACTTCCACGGTGTGGGCAGCCGGGAAGTAACAATCGCCCTCACAATCCGAAGTGCACGCGAAACCTCTCTAATCCTCACTCACCTTTGTCTTCATCTTCATCTCTGTTATCTTGCCTTCCTTCTACTAATGCAACTCCTCTACTTGTTGGCTCTTCACTTCCTCTTCACTCTGTGTGCACTGAAAACGACGGAAGCCTATCCTTGTTATTACATACAGGCAAGGTATGATCTAACATGTTACATGACCGGGACGGGGAAATTTGTAGCAATTGGAAACTTCTCTCCAGGCTATCAATTCATATATATATATATATATATATATATAATATTTCATCTTTGTTTTTCCGTAATGGATTTATAATGCATCGTACATTATTATGTTCGAAGTTCTCTTAACTGTACATTTTAGGCATTGGTTATTGACTTTCTATTACTTCACCCTACAAAACATGTTTTCTCGACATGTAAGCCTTGATTATTTTTTATATGTGCTTGTGTTATGTGGTGTGGCGGTTTAACGAGCGCTTTTGGTCGCTTTACTAAAAAAGCTGGAGGTTGACAAGGAACTTATAGTTTCAATGTCATTCACTCTCTATACATGATTTGTTCAGTTAACTTACATTTTTATTAAGACATCTGTGATACATATTCTTGTTTTTACATGATTATTACGTAATATCTTCTGTTATAGTGTAGAAAGTAACTACTTATAATGTTTATCCTTTAAACTTTTAGTTATTCACCAGAGAATATGTTTGATATTGCCATCGATGTTGGTCGTTATTCAGAGTTTGTACCTTGGTGTAATCACTCAAATATTGTTGAACGAGGTGAAAGTAGTATGTTAGTTCGTTTGGGTGTCGGATTCCCTCCACTCAGTGAATCATATATGTCCCGAATAACTTTTGAACGACCTAAACATTTAAAGGTAATTAAACATTCATATTTTACTCAATCGTTCTCATACTAAATAATTATATGTAATATTCACTCTGTATATATTAGGTTATTTAGTTGTCGTATGTCTTTGAAATAACGAAAACAAAAAAGATCTGTAGCTAGCTGTGTGTAAAGATTGACGTCGTTCTATGTTGTATTTTAATAATAAAAATAATAATAATAATTTGCTTTATTCCAAAACAGTACTTGTGATACAGAATGGAATTCTCAGCATTCCACTACAGTATTGCATCCAGTTTGTACATTAACAATAAATAAAATTCTACATAGATTATGGGTAATCTCAGTTAGTTTTGACAACAACATATTAGCATATCGGTAGCAAAGCCAAAAGTGAACAGAATGTTTGAAGGTGTTAGAAAAGTATATACTAGCATATTTACTGGCGTAAGCGGTAACAAAAAGGTCGAGATATACAGAGTTTGTAAGGAAGAGAGAAACAAAATAGCACATAGCGAAAAGAGAGAGAGAGAGAAAGAAAAGGAAAAGAAAGAAAGAAAACGTTGTACCTATAAATGATATGAGTTGGAAAGACGAGATCCAATTGTTCTACTGACTGTTTAATAAGTTGTAAGTCTCACCCCTAATGCTTTCTTTATCGCCCAGAACACGAGCTAAGAAGGGTATGGTTGAGGTTTTGTACTTGCTAATGCGATCATATAGTTTTCTATATAGGCTTCTGGTCCTGCCTGATGAGTTACAAGGGGAGAATTGTGAATGAAGACGGTGGTGTGAGTTGGATAGAATGGATTTAGCCTATTTTTCACATGAGTCCAAGTGTCTGTTGACCAGAATATTAACCAGTTGGTTAAGTGGCACTTTACTTATCCTGCTGACAACCTCTAACATCCTACGTAACAAGATATAGTTCTTCTTTAGTAGCCCTGGAAAAACTAAGGTGGAAGAATATATATATATATATATATATATATATATATATGATAGTTCATATCTTTCTCCCAGTCTTGATGAAATCGTTAGTGTTAACTGCATTATTTAAGTGTCACTTGTAATATATGACAGATTCATCAGATATATTGTCAGATATGTACAGTATAATGTGAAGGCAAACTTCCTCACAAATGACTATCAGCTAGTAAACCAGTCAGAACCTGGTGAAGGAAATCCTCTGAGGATGTCATATATATGTATGAAAATATTAACTATCTGTATAATTTTAAACAACATTAGCAGCCTAGGTTTTCTGGCTGCGACATTGTGGTCAAATAATCTGAGTAGATCTAAATTCTTCACAATGACCCGAAATATCTTCATTCTTTATCACTACTTTCAATTCTGAACATTTTCAATAAATGTTCATCCAGTCATTCTGTTTATTTACATTCATGCTTGTCTACTGTATTATTATTTCTGTCTGAATTGATACACTCCTGTTAAGTATTTTATGTGTATTTGTGTGCTATATATATATATATATATATATATATATATACGAGTTGATCATGCATTGATATCAATTAGAGAACCATTGAAAACCTGGGAGTACTGGACAGCTGTTTCGTCAGCCTAGTTTGGGAATCATCGGCAGTACGCACCCAGGACCTTCCGGTTACAAGGCAAGCTCGTATACCATTCAGCCACTGGGACCCGATTCAATGACCAGTCCATGAATTCTAACTTCTACCAATTCGTGATTTAGCACTACCCCAACCAATGTCGTCGGTGGGACATCCATCCTCACACGTGACTGGATGGACCTCACTGCTCATGACTTCTCACTAGAACTCCAGGAAGCTTCATCCTGTAGCAAGTCACTAGCGAGCTTATATATATATATATATAGAGAGAGAGAGATGGTTCTTTGGTTTGGTCAATTGGTTTGCAGCGGGTAGGGTGTTGAGTTCGAAGCATACTTCATCTGGTAATGTTTGTGCAATTGAGTTGTTTCACTACCTCTCACATTGTGTTAATGTGTGTGTGTGCATTCGTTGAATAAAATCGTCATTTAGTATTAATAGTTGGGGTCGCGCTAAATCACGAATTGGTAGAAGTTAGAATTCATGGCCTGGCCATTGAATGGAGTCCCAGTGGCTGAATGGTATACGAGTCAGCTTGCTTAGTAACCGGAAGGTCCTGGGTTCGAACCCCAGCAGGTGGGTGGGTGCGTACTGGCGATGATTCCCGAACTAGGATGAAACAACTATCCAGTACTCCCTGTTGGTTTTCAATGGTACTCTAGTTGATATAAATCCGTGATCAGCTCGTGAAAACAAAACTAACCCTTACAAATTAATATATGTGTAATAATTAATATATATGTAATTAATTAATTAATTATATATGTAATTAATATAATATGTGTAACCCTTACAAACCAAACTATAGAAAGTAATAGCATCATTTAAGAACAAACAAATTTTGAGGAAGACATCGCGCGTATATACATGTAACTACCTTATTCATACAATTTTCTGTAGTAGTTTTTAACAGAATAAATTTCTTTTTTTACATATTTCTACTTAACAAAAAAAATAGTCTGTGGCGCAAAATGTTCGAATGTTTCATCATTTAATTAATGAATGGCGTTTCCTACCTGGACTCCCAGACAATCCCCTTTCGTGTAATATTGAGTTTTCTGTAAGTTTGACGTTTTTTCTATTTTTATTATTTATGCCTATTTTGCGAAGAATCATTATTTCATTGTAAAATTATTTAAAGCGATTTCAGCGTGATCATTTGTTTCACTTTTGTGATAATTATTTATTATTATTTCCTTTAAATCCTAGAGGAACATAGGGCTTCAGCCGTGCGTCTCCACTGCGTTCGGTTCTCTGTTAGAGTTTTCGCCTGGCTCTACGTCTGCCCACTTGCTTTCATCTCTTCTTCACATGACCTCCCCCATGTCACAGTCGCACTGACGACCAACTCGCTGCTTCCCATTCAGTCGGGTTCCACTCGAACGATGACCTGGTGCGTGATGTCACTTGATGGTTTGCTTCCTCGGAGTATGGCCAATCCACCTCCTTTCCTTCCTGCTTATTTGTTACATAATCGGTTCCTGCTGGGTTGGTTCGCTCATTGCCAGAGATCCCTGTTGCTGATCTTTTCTGGCCGGCCATCTGATCTCTAGTGGTATTGAGCGAAGACAGCTGTTAATGAAGGTCTGTAGTTTGTTTGAGGTGCTCTTTATGACACGCCAAGTCTCTGATCCGTGTAGTAAGTAGCACTGGCTTCACATTGGATTTGAAAATCCGGATCTTATTTTTCATGCTGAAGAGTGCTGCTGATATGATTATGAGCAATAGTTTGTGCTCGAAACGTCATCAGTTAATATAACTGTACAACACTGTGTGATTTATCAAAATAAAATCTTATCCATGATAGAGTTATGCCCTATAAAATGTAAGATGATGTTGCAGGATTGGACTTCATCGACCCCTAGATTAGAAATAGGAAGTGAAGTGGTAGAGCACGTTGACCGCTTCACTTACTTGGGAAGTACTATCAGCCCTAACGGGTTGATCTCTGACGAAATCTCAGTACGAATACAGAGGGCTAGTTTCGCATATGCCAGTTTACGCCGTCTCTGGCGCAGACGTGATATCCGACTATCGACCAAAGGGCGTGTGTACTGCTCAACAGTCCGCTCCGTCCTCCTTTATGGCTGTGAGACCTGGCCATTAAGAGCAGATGACATGAAAAGATTAACTGTCTTCGATCATAGGTGTCTGCGTTCTATCTCCCGCGTGAAGTGGTATAATAAGGTGAGCAATATTGAGGTTAGGCGTCGAGTGCTAGGTAAGGCGGGGAAATCAGTCGACGAGACTGTGAAATTACATCGACTGAGATGGTTAGGACATGTATTACGTATGCCTAGTCATCGCCTTCCTCGACGGGCAATGTTAGCTGATATAGGGTCAGGCTGGAAAAGAACTAGCGGCGGTCAAACGAAAACATGGCACCAATCAATGAAATCCACAACAGTTAATCTAAGCCACGTAGGAAGATGCAGACTTCCTGGTTGGGGTCGTCGGGATGGTAAAAACCAATGGTTGGAAACAATTGGTGACATGGCTCAAAATCGTTCTCAGTGGCGCAGATGCATCCACTCCTTGTGACTTATGATTTCCAATTAAACTTTTGTTCTTCGTTATTACTATTCCTTTGTCTCACACCTCTGTTTACTGTCTATATTATGCATTTCTTCTACTTCCTTCTCTTGCTTTGCGTGCTACATAGATTGTGGCGACTTGAACTGCCGCACATTGTTCAAAGTTCTATGTCGAAAACCGACCGACCGACCGATAGAGTTATTCTCTACCGCAGTGCCCATTGTTGTTGTGCCCACAACAGAACTTTAGTGTAATGATAGCTTGCCTTGCTTTCCCGATGATCCTTGCTTTGATATCCTCGTCAGTTCCGTCTGCCTGCAGCTGAAGCGATGCTTCCCAGGTAGGTAAAGGAGTTTGTTTCTTTCAGGTTCCTCCCATTTATGGTGATTGTTGTCTGTTGGTGGTGTTGCCCAGGAATCCTCATCACCTCTGTTTTCTCTATGTTCACCTGAAGTCCTATCTTTGATGCTTCTTCTGCCAACTTGCTGCTTTTCACTTGCATATCTTCCAGTTTGTGGGTAATCAGACATATATCATCGGCGAAGTCCAGATCCTCCAAGTTTTTTGTGTAGGTAATTATTTATAGTCTACTTTTTCACAGGATTTTGTTGTGCTTAGCCCACTTCACTGTGTTTTGCTTTATGTCTGAGATGTGATCATTACAAGTTAAACGCCTGAAAAGAGGCTGGTCTGTCTTTGGCAACAACAAATATTTGCTTTCTGTCTTCCGTGTTAACTAGTATAATAGTGTAAGTAATATTGAGGTTGGATGTCTAGTAGTGTTAGGTTAAGAGAGAGGTTGTGAAGCTAATCGACTGAGTTGGCTAGGACACACGTACTGCACATGCCGAGCCATCACCTTCCTCTTTGGCCAGTGCTAGGTGACGTATTATATGATTAGGTTGGAAAAGAGTTAGGCGGGGGGGTGTGGTCAAAGCAAAACCTGGGATTAGTTCATGAAGTCTTTAAACTGTTGGTTTGAACCAACCATGTGGAGAAGTGCAGACTGCTTGGCTTAGGTTCCTCGGGATGCCATGAACCAGTGGCTTAAGACTGTTGATGATAATATGCCTGGAAAGCGTGTTCTGAATATGACTTCAGATGCATTCACCCTTTGTAATCTCCAAGACCCATTAAGTTTTTCAAAAGAATAGATACTGAACAAAGAGTACTCTTTTCGATAACCCCTCCTTCATCAGGCTCTACAGTTATATATCCACATTATAGTGAATGAATGAATTAGTGTTATGAACAACATTAATGTTGTTTAAATAAAATCGAATCAATAATATTGATAGATTACAGCTGAATAGCATCAACATAAAATAAGCTGAATGTCAGAAAATTTAGGAAAGATAATATTACAAATTCATGAATTTCTAGTCTCTACTGAAGGCCAGGGCAGTAGTAGGGGCTGGACTTGCTTCTTTTGAACACAGAGCACTGGTTGTTTGAGGCGAATCGCAATAGCCTCTGCTGTTTGGAGCATGCGGTGCTTCGATGATTTTGGCAATTTATCTGGCACCCGGTAGATTATAGAGAAGGATTCTTCAAGGCTGGCTGGCTTTGTGGCCGGTTTGCACCAGATGGTCCAATATCGAACTGTTAATGGTTTTAACTACACCTTTACTTAGCCATAGTGGGAGATGTTCTCGAGTTTTCATGTTTCTCCACACATAAGTTATTCCTTCTGGCTGGCGTGCATTTCTGCTCATTACACAGTTCACTCCACATATGTGTGTAGCTATGTTAAATAATAAAAAAGCGTAAACATTTTTATGTTGTTGTTGTTCTTTCTTTTCCACAGGTGGATTTTGAATTTCGTTCTCCACTTTATTCAAAAATTGCTGCCTTATTTTTTGATCAAGTTGTCAGCGTGATGGTGAATGCTTTTATGGAACGAGCTAGAGCACTACATGGGAAACCATCGATTGCAGCACAAAAGCCAAGCATATTAACATACAATAAATAATAAATAAATATTATCAAGATTCAGCTTTTTTGATTCGATATCAGTTACACACACACACCACACACTATGTACAGCTTTGTGTACAGTGTACTCTCTCTCTCTCTCCCTTTCTCTCTGACAGCATAGAAAGCCATTATGTTGTGAATTTCTGTTGTTTTTTATTTAGAAAAGCCTTTCATACAATGATTATTTTGCGTATATTCTGCATTCTACTCCAACAGGGCACATATGATATAGGAGAATGATGTTCATTTGTTTGTCTTTTTTGTTTTCTAAATATCATATTTTGGTAGAATGCTCTTCCTTTTTGTTTTCTAATTTTAAAAACGATATAGTTGAAAAGTTTATTATGATTATAACTATTATTAATTATTACTACTATTTTGTAATCAAACCAGCACCGATTTCACCTTTTTGTATCTTCTCCCTACCAACCCTCATTTAAAAAAAGTATTTTAGTTATCTTCTTTGTAGAAAGTATTCGATTAACTAAATGCTTTTTATGCTCTGAAAGGAAGTGAGACCTATTCACCTTCTCATCTCAACTCACCTCTGCTATCCGAGAGAGAAAAACACCGGAGGAGATAGTTTCTACTTCCCTCTTTCTTGGTTATATTTTATTTTGCTATAGGCTTTTGCTCTCCTTCCGCGCCTCCCCCCACCCTTTGAAGATGATCCTATTAGAATGGCTTTAGTGTTAAGTTGTCAACGAACAAAACAAAAGAAAACGAGAAAAATGTAACACGTGTGTGTTCCTCTTCTAGTCTTGTCCATTCCGTTGGCTCAAATATCAGGTAGTGCGATACGAATTGTCTTGTTTTCCCATCTTTTGTCTTCTACTGGCCTTACTTTTTGTTTTGTTTTGAACAATTCCTTTATTTTACCTACAACATTGTATGTATGTGATTAATATTTACTTTACTTGTCAAATGAGTAGAAATAAAAAAAACAATTAATGAAAGAATAAAATTGTCTTATTGTTGATTTTTCCCTGAAAAAACTCATTTGTATGCTTCAATCATTGGTTTGACTTATATTATTATTATTATCATCATCATCATCAGAATATTCACATCTTGTTCATATGTGTGTGTGTGTGTGGGTGTGCGTGTGTCCTTGAAGTGTTTTAGGATAACTCTTGATTCTCCAGTTTACGAATTACTTAATGCTGACCTTCTTTAAATGATAGGTGCTGGAAGTGGACGTTTGTTAATTCCCCACATTCCACACAACATGGGAGTACACCTGAAACAGAAGGATCATTAGTGTTGCATAACTTCAGGGCCCAGGGGATAACTGTTTGTGGTTTGTTTGAACTGGTTGCTAGAGTTGTGTCCGTATTAATATCTTACCGTGGTCTACGGACCGCCGAAAGGTAAGTTGGAATGTACAATTGTCGGGATCGAACTTATCTAACCCACTTTTATCCAGAGTGGTGATATGTGGTATACGTGGCTATTGGTCATCTTAGGGAAACACCTTACTGCTGTTACATCTCTATTCTCCAGCAGTACGACTTCACCCTGAGATCCCTCCAACATAGTGAAAACGATTTACACTATGATGTTTTTCTTTCTTCACGTTCCCCAGTGGAACATAGGGCTTCAAGATAGAGGCTTGAAGTTTCTGTAGCAGTGTTTATTTTTACAGGATGGGGTTGCTAGCCTCATGCCCAACCTTTCTTCTTTACCAGCATTATTTCTGGCTTAGCGAGGTAAAGGAGTGCGTTCGTGGCCGGGGATCGAACCCCAGACCATGTGCATGGTCGGCGAGCGTCCTAACCGCTATGCCACCGGCACACTATGGTGTTAAGTGCTTTTAATCTCATCGCTAGCCAAAACGACCTTTCAAGACACATTAGTTCCAGCTAATGTAGCTCCTTGGCTCATTCTGACATGCAATCCCGACCACCACATCAAGATAGTAGCTATCGGTCGGTTGGTGGGTGCTTGTAACACTATTACTCATCCAGCTTGTGAGTCCCAAAATAATGTCGTATGCGTATATCGCCTACTCCACTGTGGGTCATCACGAGAAAAGTGACTCAAAATGACGAATTATGGTAATATTGAGGTGTTAAGTCAAGGGACTCATGTGTAGAAATGAAACTGATCGTTTCAATTCAGCAATGCCAACAGGGATTGATGATTTTAAATAATTTTTTATGTAGAAAAGAGATAATATCCGGTTTTTGTCGTCACTGCAAATGCATAATTCCTGCGCTAAACTTTCAGCATCAAATGACACTTGTTGAAATCTCGGTGAGATAATGAGCATTTCAAAAGTTTCAGATTAAGGATACTGATGTGTACAACAAATCAATCCATCCCGACATGGATTTCTTCTGGCTGACTCCTAACATGTAACTTGATGTGTATCGTGAATTCTTTCAGTGGAAATGAATTTGACTGAATGAAACACAGGCGCTTCATCTCATGTTTCATATTCTGCAACACTGCTGTTTAACCAATAACATTACTGCTCGTTTTCTACTGTTGTGTAGTAGTAGTACAATATGATGAGCATAGGCGTAGACTGTCAGGTAAGGCGGGTAAGTCAATCGATGAATTTGTGAAGCTGTATCGATTAAAATGTCCAGGGCACATGTTGCATAGGTTGAACCATCACCTTCCTTGGCGAGCAGTGTTAGCTGACATCCGATTAGGTTAGAAAAGATTAAGCGGTGGGCAATGAAATCAAAACCTGGCATCAGTCCACTAAGTCTTTGACTGTTGGTTTGAACCAACCATGTAAGGAGGTATAGACCTCAGGATGGCTGAAAATTGTTCTCAGCGGCTCAGATGTACTCATCCTCTATGACCTCCCATATCCACTAAACTGTCACGTTTTCCCATGTTACTATTCTGTCTCCAACACACTTCTGGCCATTATAGTTCTTTTGGATTTCTCTCTTTCTGTACTTTTGTGTGCTACTTGAAGTGTTGCAACTTGAACTGCTGCACTTCTGTGCAAAGTTCCATGTTGAAACTCAACGAAGAACTTCGCACATTTTGGAAAAGCATACATGAAAAGAGATATCATGAAGGTAAAGTGGATGTTTCTAAATCTCAATGATAATACGTCTTTTCTATTGTGAGAAATTTCATAATCCTTAACTTTATCTTCCTGAGACAATGAAATGTCGATTCTTAGAGATATAATATTTTAGTCAAATGGAATGTCCTGTGTTTATCATAGGTAGACCGAATCAACTGTCTAGACTAAGGTGTTATAACTGAAAATCCCATTCTATTTGTAAGTTATTGTTTGAAGTAAAGTGATTATTATTCCTATTAATACACTGTTAATCGTCTGAGAGTCGCAACCAGCCTAGCTTATTGTGTCATTGTGGTATACAAACTCGATCAATGGGTCAAGGTTATATCTATCGATCGGAAATCGTATTGACTACTTGATTTCGAAATTACGGTAAGTACAAATAAAGGTTGTAATTTATATTAAGACGAAAGAACAGAGATGAAGACAGGGTATTCATGCATTCAGACCCCCTACAATTGTTTCCCCGTCGTATCATCTAGTCTCTGAATTCTAGTTGTCACCTCGATCCTCAAAAAGTGCTCATTAGACAGGACGACTCGAATTTTGTAAAGTACTCAATCTTTGTTTGAGGAAAGATTAAGTATCACCAGTCGCGAAGGTTTCGTTGTCCTTCTAAATGATATCTTCAGTAGCTTCGAAGTAAAATTAACGTTGGTAGTTCTCTATGGATGAAAATTTTATCCTTCAATGATGACGTCCAATGTAATTGATTGTTCCCCGTAGATTTCCCTATGGTTGAGTAACACCTGTATGCAATAATCACAGACTAGCAGTTAAAAGGCACGGTAGGCATTTTCTACACGTGGACAACTATGGACATCACTTGAATTGGGACAATGTAAAAATCGTAGACAGAGGAAAAAGAGACCTGTTACTCAAACCACTTTGTAATTAGTAAACGTGTGGATACATGTTAACTTAATCAAGCAATAAAAAGTAGGTGTTGTACAATTTAAAGATCAAATATCAAGTCAGTGAGAGGATCAATAACAATACAAGTGTAAATACATTCATAAGAAAATCTACTGGAACAGCCAATCACATTGAAGGTCACTACTATAAGAGACAAGTGTTTCGGCTATAAAGACTTCCCAAAGTTCACTTTACACTAGAACTACTGCTGGAGATGTCTAGGAAGACAATGAAAGACTCCACAGTTAAGTCAACCTGTCAAGAAAATGCAGTAATACTTGAGACATCCACCTGAACTACAAATCTTCTTCCCATATTACTAATTATTTTTTTAACTAACAGATTACTGAAGGATTCAGTGGTACACGCATGTGCTGTGAGGTTCAATTCCCAGCTGATGCACTCACAGATATCGCCTGGTTTACTAGCAGGTGAAGCTGGTAACCCCACCCTGTGAAAATACACTGCTAGTTAGAATTCAAACATAGCTCAAACTTCACGTCTCATGTTCCATTCCGAACTCAAAGGAATGAAAAGAGAGGATTCATCAAATAATGATCATGATAAAAAAATGTTTCTCTATCAGATTCATTGTGTAACAAAAGCATAAAGTTTTCCGAGTTTTAAATATACACCAAGTAAATTAGCTCATGAAAGATCTGATATGCTTTTTTCAATCTTTTTGGTTTCTTTAGGTGTTCCCCTTAATAAGAGCGTGTATATAACACTTAACCGGTTGTTATACATACAATGTCAATTCTTCTTCTTCAGTAACCTTTCAGTTATTTATTTGTTGAAGTCAATTTTAATTTTAACTGATTAAAAATGTCCATTAAAAGTTTTTCAAAAGAATGGATACTGAACAAAGAGTACTCTTTTCGATAACCCTCTTCATCATCAGGCTCTACAGTTATATATACACATTATAGTGAATGAATGAATTAGTATTAAGAACAACATTAATGTTGTTTAAATAACATCGAATCAATAAAATCAGCAGATTACAGTTCAATAGCATCAATATAAAATAAGCTGAATGTCACAAAAATTAGGAAAGATAATATTACGAATTCATGAGTTTATAGTTTCTACTGAAGGCCAGGGCAGTATTAGGGGCTGGACTTGCTTCTTTTGAACACAGAGTACTGGTTATTTGAGGCGAATTGCAGTAGTCTTTGCTGTTTGGAGCATGCGGTGTTTCGATGATTTTGGCAATTTATTAGGCACCCGGTGGATGATAGAGAAGGATTCTTCAAGGCTGGCTGGCTTTGTGGCCGTTTTGCACCAGGTGTTCTAATGTCGAACTGTTAATGCTTTTAACTACATCTTTACTTAGCCATAGTGGGATATGTTCTCGAGCACAAAAAATCAATTTCCTAAAGCACCGGCCAATATAACTCACTCCACCATCAGCGCAATTGAATTGATAGATACAATTGGAAGTGGCTAGTCTAGGTACTTCATCTTTCAGTCGAGGTAGCACCATCGGTCGTGTAGAGAATAATACGTGCAGTTTGCCAGTATTAAAAGTTCTTTGAACTGATTTTCTTAATTTCCTAGTAATTATCTCACTTGGTATATCACCCTTGAATTGTAGTCGTATACTAAGTGAGATAATTACTAGGAAATTAAGAAAATCAGTTCAAAGAACTTTTAATACTGGCGAACTGCACGTATTATTCTCTACACGACCGATGGTGCTACCTCGACTGAAAGATGAAGTACCTAGACTAGCCACTTCCAATTGTATCTATCAATTCAATTGCGCTGATGGTGGAGTGAGTTATATTGGCCGGTGCTTTAGGAAATTGATTTTTTGTGCTCGAGAACATATCCCACTATGGCTAAGTAAAGATGTAGTTAAAAGCATTAACAGTTCGACATTAGAACACCTGGTGCAAACCGGCCACAAAGCCAGGCAGCCTTGAAGAATCCTTCTCTATCATCCACCGGGTGCCTAATAAATTGCCAAAATCATCGAAACACCGCATGCTCCTAAGAGCAGAGGCTATTGCAATTTGCGTGAAACAACTAGTGCTCTATGTTCAGTAGAGATTATAAATTCATGAATTTGTAATATTATCACTTTTCCTAATTTTTCTGACATTCAGCTTATTTTATGTTGATCCTATTGAACTGTAATCTGCTGATTTTATTGATTCGATGTTATTTAAACAACATTAATGTTGTTGATAACACTAATTCATTCATTCACTATTATGGATGGATATATAACTGTAGAGCCTGATGAAGGAGGGGTTATCAAAAAGAGTATCCATTCTTTTGAAAATTTTAATTTTCCCGTTGACTGACGACTGAACCGAAATGTTTGGCCTCTGTTGACATGTCGGCTTGTAGCACGGACGCTTCTTTGATGTCTGTGGATTGACATTATGTTATTTGGTGGTTGATGATGACTAGCAGTGGAATTCAAGATGCACACTTCGTCCTATTTAGGACTCATCATCTGGATTTACATGCATTTGCATTGGGTACTGGCGTCTCAGTGCGATCACCAGATAAACTCAGTGATGAGTTCTAAATAGGACAAAGGTGTGTGCATCCTAAATCCAACTGGTAGTCACTGTCAACCAAAATGCAGTATCCTTTTGAGTCAGTGGTAATTATGTTTAGTTTGGTAACTGAAAATTCAAGTTTCTCAGCAAAGAGAAAATTATTAATCTAAATCTATATGCTTAACATCTACATAACTGTGTAGATTTGAAGTGGACGCTTGGAAATCTACTAAAATAAATCTAATTGTTTCACTCTATGTAACTGTCTATTTATTGCAAACATGGAAGGATCAACGCTTTACGTAGTCTTCCACTGAAACAGTGTAATAGAACATCGAATCAAAGATTACCGGTAAGGATAAAAGCGTTTATTGTGTCGCCTATTCGTGTGCTTAGTGGTGGACGTGTGAGTGTTCGAGATTTTCGAAGACAGTACACAAACTTACCCTTGCCAATACCTATGAAGCCTTGTCATGTAGTAGAATCGTGAATTTTTACGAAACTATGTAATACATTTGATGTACTGTAGGAGTTTTGAAATGTTTACATAAATTTCACTATGAATTACATGAAAAGATGTTAAACGTGTGTCTCTTCAGGTGATTGATTATGATGAACACTTATCAATGTTTGTTTTTCAATCAATATACAAACATCACATGATTCTCTGCATGTCTTAAAGATCATCCGATTTATAATAAGATTAGAATAGTCAAGTATTGGTTTGTAGGGACTTTGTTTGATTGCTTACAGGATTTCATCATGAGCTGAAATTGGTTAGAGAACCATTGGAAAACCTGCAGGGAGTACTGGACAGCTGTTTCGTCCTAGTTTGGGACTCTTCATCAGCACACAGGTCCTGGGTTCGAACCCCGGTGGTTGCCTACTGATGAACAGTCCAAATCTAGGACGAAACAGCTTTCCAATACCCCCAGGTTTTTCAATGGTTCTCTAACCAATGTCAGCTCATGTCCATCATGTCTTTTTTACGATAGTAGAAGTATCCTGAATTCTTTTCACTTATTTTCTTTGTGGATAAATATCAGTAGTTCTTTATTTTGTTCCATGTGTTAACTTATATCAGCCCCTATGCCAATTTCTAATTGTCCAGCTTGTTTGGATCCAGTTATTTGGATCAGGAATCTCATGTAAGAGGCTATTAGACAGACTTATAGTGTTGAGGGCTGGTGATATTATTCAGCTGGCCGGCCAGGTTGAAGTAGGGGGAAGGACGGATTCAAACTCGAGTCTCACCACCTGCTGAAAGCCGATGATAAACCACTTCTCCACTTGTATTTTTGTATGAATGAGATATTTGTTCCAATTTTTCGCTGAATAGTACAAATAGTTTTATACATCCTTGTTAAAATTGGTAGTTTTTATTATTCCTTCACTTCCCCAGTGGAACATAGGGCTTCAAGCTAGAGGCTTGAAGTTTCGGTAGCAGTGGTGTTTATTTTTACAGGATGGGGTTGCTAACCTCATGGCCAACCTTTCCTCTTCAGAAGCATTATTTCTGGCTTAACGAGGTGTGGGAGTGCGTCGGCCGGGGATCGATCCCCAGACCATGTGCATGGTCGGCGAAGCGTCCTAACCACTGTGCCACTGACGCACTGTTAAAATTGGTAGTAGTATTTTCAATGTCAATCTCGCCACGAACCATCATGAATTAGAGATTATTGAAAATTAGAGAGCACTGGTCAGTTTCTTCGTCCTAGTTTGGCACTCCTCATCACTGTACATCCATGACCCTATCGAACGACTGAACTCGGAACCTTCAGGTTACAAGAACAAGTAACTTGACCATTTAGCTACTTGCACTAGAAATCAATAACCCGTAAATTTTAACTTTGTCGATTCGTGATATAGAGCTACCCTCAGGCAGCTGTCCGGTGCTCCCTGGTTTTCAAAGATCTTTGACTGAGGTTGGTTCCTGATGAAATCTACACTGGAATCAATCCACACCCGTAGAAAAACCTTTAAACAGTGGTTTTGTTTATGTGTAATGGTATAGACTGATGTGGAAATTCGATTCATTAGTGTACCCATTCAGTTTTCACTCGGTTCGTCATTTTTTTTTTTTGAACTTACTCTACACAGTGAGACTAAGCAATCACGTAGTATAACTAGGCATATTGTTTAGTTAACGGAAAGGAAAATTCAAGGAATTGTTGTGTATAAATAAAAAAACTGGCCAATTACTGTAGCTTATAAACTTTAGTCGCAATTCAGCACTGTCTCATTTTGAGTTTTTTGTCAGAATTGTAGAACTGTATGGGTTTCACACTGTTTGTCATTTATTGCTAAGAAATTATTTCGATAAAATCTTAATAATGACGAAGAAGATGTGTGCCTCAGATGAATGATATTGGTGTGCCTGTGCTCTTAGTACACCACTTCGTATTGAGGATTGCACTGGAAATGTTGTCTAGGAAGACAGTGAAAGGTTCTTATTTAAATCATCCATTTAGGGGGGGGATGCAATAACAGGGAATTCTGTCAGTCAAGGTTACAGTATGGTGACCAAGATAGGTAGCTAGCAGCCATCTTGATGCACTCTGAACTGTTGTTACATGGTTGGAGGCAATCGACTGGAATCCCTCGACACTCATCAGTAAGGTGCGTGTGGATCATTGACGGAATTGATATCCCCTATGAGATACAAACTAGTACGGAAGTCAGATGTCACTACTGAGATATACGTGTTCACGATTTACTTCCTTTTAGAGTATTGAGGATACATTGATTGGTTACCTACCATGCGTTGTGCGTCTAATGTATCGGTCGAGTTTTCATTGTGTCGGTCACCAACACACTATGTCTTTATCTCTGCCTATCTTTGTGTTTTCCTCCATACAGCCTTCGTTAAACTCAAATCTTTGCGTTTTAACACAAAAAATTGGACGTCTTCTACTGATTGGTTTAAATCGACCAGATAAAGGGAATTGTATCAATCGGGAGACTGTAGCTGCATTGAACAATGTTATTCATAATCAATTTGAAAAAGATAATGATATAATCGGTGGTGTATTATACGGTGAAGGTAAAGATTTCTGTTTGGGTTTGGATATTGAAGAATTAATGGATTATATTAAACAAAATCCAAATTATGATAACGCGAAGATAAATCAAATGTATTCGTGTTTATCTACAGTAAGTGATATTCCAATGAATGTTCTATACTTTTTAGTGTTAGTAAATATGAGGGGAGTTGTGTTTTGGAATGTAGTTGTGGGTTCTTTTGATTGTGGGTAGTTTAACTGAGAAACTTTCATTGTCTTACTAGAGAACTTCTTCAGTGCCAATTTATAAATAAAGTCACTTAACTTAGAGGGCTGGGTTGCTAGCCTCATGTCAAGCCTTCTGTGTTTACCGGGCGAGATTCAGCAGTGCTTCGGCTGGGAGGCGATCTCGAACCACGTACGTAGTGCGCTAGCATTCTACCCTTGAGCCACCTACTATGGACAGTATATTAAGTTTTCTAAAGACAAATAAATAAAGAATCAGAATATGAAAAGATTTTTACATTCATGATATGAGAAACTTTCTTGGTTATTAGATGGTTGGAGGCAATCGGCCACAGGAAGCCTTGCCTAGATCTATGTTTCGTGTTAGTTACCACTCACCAGTCAGCTAGGCGTATCTGCAGACTTGAAAGGAATTCATATCCCTTCTGAGATTCTAACCCGCGTCAACCAGTGCTGAAGTCAGTGACGTTACCACTGAGCTATTCGGGTTCGCGATTGTCCTTCTGTAGGACTGTAATGGATACTTTTGACTGGACACTAGTCAGTGATTAGTGTAGTCTGTCTAGTCATTTGTTCGGTACAGACTGAATTCCATCAGTCAAGTTTGTAATGTTGACAGCGCCGTGATGGCGAGCCACCTAGAATGCTGACCACATTGCAAACTTGACTGATGGAATTCAGTCTGCACCAAACAAAGGACTAGACAGACTACACTAATCACTGACTAGTGTCCAGTCAAACTTTCTTTCGATTGCAAATAAGAGTTATCTGTTACCCTGTGTATTGCCCAAATGATCCTGAAAAGAAGTATTTATTTCATAAAATAGAAATCGGTTTATTGCTTCTTAACATTTTTTTGTATTGAATGACATTCTCAAGTCTTTTTCTTAAAAAAAACTTGATCTTTACACTTTTTGTAAGCTTAGCAGAAGAGCCGGCCACGAAGGTCAGAGTAAGGAAGATTGTAAGTAGGTTATACAAATAATTAGAAGTTAATTTGTTTATGGTGACTAGCAGTGGAATCCAGGATGCGCGTTTCGTCCTGTTCGGGACTCTTCAACTGGATGTACCTGTATTTAGCAGTGAGTGATGATGTTCCCACTGAGGCTCGAAACCAGTGGCCGTAGTTTCAAACACCATAGCGTTATCTACTAGACCACCTGAGCCACGAGAGCCACCTCTTGTGCAACGGCTTATTTTTTGAATGAATATGATATGAGTAAAAGTGACATAATCTACACTTAATGTGTGAGGCGATAGTGATACTATCTGGCTCAAATTTTTATTTTATTTTGAAAATTTTTGATTACAGCTTGATTCCACACCGTATTTTATGGTACAGGTATGGAATTTTCAGCATGTGATATCGGTAGCTCGAATTTCGCAGGCCGACCATAGATATCAGGTGTGCGTCGGCAGGGGATCGAACCCCAGACCATTTGCATTGTCGGCGAGAGTCAATAACCACTGTGCCACCGACTCAAATTATGCTTTGTTTTAATCACCTATTGACGTCTCTGAAAACCAGTCTGTACTTACATACAGCTTTGATTGGCTTTCAGCATACCGCTTGGTCTATTTTGAAGGAACTTATACGTTGGGGGGTCGGAACACGTTTCAGATCCAACCAATATCTTGTCAAATGATATACTGTAGACTACTGTTTCACTTAAAGATTCTGTATAAATTAGTAGATGGAACCAAGCTGAAAATTCTGTACTATATACAAATATGTTATTCAGAATAAAGCTGTTATTGTTAATACCATTATAACTGACGTCCAAACTTCAGTGATGTTGCCGATTAAATTTACTACGTAATCACAAGTCTAAGAAAAATTATTCTCAAGTATTGGTTGGTAGGAATTTGGTTGATTGGCTACTGGATTTCATCATGAGCTGAAAGTGGTTAGAGAACCATTTGAAAACCTGCAGGGAGTACTGGGCAGTCAGTTGTTTCGTCCTAGTTTAGGACTCTTCATCAGTCTACGCGCACACCGCAGGGTTTGGACCCAGAGCCCTATAGTTACAAGGAGAGCTTGTAGACCATTAAGTCACTGGGACCCGATCCATTGGCGCAACCACTAGCGAATGTCATCCATGGCGAGTATTTGTCCTCACACCCGACCTGCTGCACCCCACTGGTCACGACTTCTCACTAGAACCACAGGTAACTACCTTCCTGAATAGGGCCAGTAGCTAGTGAAAAACTCATCGATTTTCAGGTATTCGAGTCCCGGTGGGTGCGCACTGACGAAGAGTCCCAAACTAGGACGAAACAACTGTCTAGTACTGCCAGGTCTTCCAATGGTTATCTAACTTATATATTAGCTCATGATGAAATCCAGTAACCAAAAATGTTTCTACTGACCAACACTAAATATCGGTTATACGACAACTGGTGGTGAATATCTGAAATTGATCGAAAAATGTATATTTTTTTTCAAAACATGTGACTGAATCAGGATATGATATGCTGATAATTTGTTTATATGTTGTTTCGCTATTATTATTATTATTATCATTATTATTATTATTATTATCATTATTATTATTATTATTAGGTTTATTTACGGTAAACAATAACATCACCTAAATTCTTGTGTTTATTGTTTTCGTATTTATGTGCTTACTCGCATCAAACTTATTTTTTTGTTAATTTTTTAAATCCTTTTTCATTTTGGTGACATTTTTATAGGATCCTAATAAAATCACCTTGACCAGTAAACCTCTTGTTGCAGCAATCACTGGTAAGGCTGTCGGTGGAGGTTTAGAATTAGCATTAGCCTGTGATCTACGTGTAGCAGAAGTGGATTCTGTTCTTAGCTTACATAAAAGAAAACATTGTAAGTTTCTTAAATAACTTTCTCATTTGATATTACCTAATATCTTCATATTACAGTTAATTCACACTGTAACAACAGAAGACTAAGGGCCAGGCAACAGATCGTTTATTTAGGAAATCAACAGATATTTATAGATTCTCATATACATTATTAAAGATTATTGTAAGCAAACGTGCGTCGGTGGCATAGTGGTTAGGACGCTCGCCAACGATGCACATGGTCCGGGGTTCGACCCCCGGCCGGCGCACTCCTTTACCTCGCTAAGCCAGAAATAATGCTGGTAAAAGAGGAAAGGTTGGGCATGAGGCTAGCAACCTCATCCTGTAAAAATAACTACTGCTAAAGAAACTTCAAGCCTCTAGCTTGAAGCCCTATGTTCCACTGGGGAACGTGAAGGATAAAAAAAATTGTAAGCAAACAAACACAGTCTTCTGATTGGTGGTTTCTCGCTGAACGTCAATCTTTCATCTCCTTGTGGTCGTTTCTTGAATGTCAGATCATCTATATGCTAATTGTATCCGCCTACGCAAAGTCTGCTGTCACTGGTTGTTGAGTCAGTCTTTGATCTTGTTTTCACATGAGCAATATTGGGGACGTAAACATTGACGTAAATTACTGTCTACCAATTTTGGCTAGCAGACAGCTCTCACCACCACACTACTATATTTTAACTAAAGATGTTTATTATTTTATTTATTTATTTACTTTTGATTACAGCTTGATGCCACACCGTATTTTCAGTACAAGTATGGAATTTTCAGCATGGATATCGGTAGCCCAAATTTTGCAGGCCGACCATAGATACCGGGTGTGCGTCGGCAGGGGATGGAACCCCGGACCATGTGCATGGTCGGCGAGAGTCCTAACCTTTGTGCCACCGACTCACACATTGGAGTGGTTTATCATTTTCAGAACTGTATTATCTCTCTATTGAAAAACCAACCTATATGCAGAAAACTAATAATAATTAAGTAGGATTGTAAGCCTTCAGTTCTTAGGTTCTTCAGCTGATGCGTTCACAAGATGTTTGTGATAGTGAGCGTACTGAAACAGAAACTAAGTGAAGTATAAAATAGTTCCATCCTTTGAACTTTCTTAGTCGGTCATCCCTCTAACCTACTACACTCAACAAGTTAAGACAATTAGGAATCACTCAGCCTGTACGTCAATAATTTGTTAACTCTGGTATCTCACCTACTCTTTTTATATTTTTTCCCGCCTTAGTCTTTCCTGGATTACTCAGAAAACACTGTATCATATTGCGAAGGGTAATAAAATTTGCCAGTAGGGCAAGTAATGTGTCACTGAGTCAGCTCGTTATTACTGTGGTCAACAGACACCTGAACTCATGTGAGAAATGGTCTGAATCCACATTGTCTGACTCTCAACTCTCCCCTTGATGCCTCTCATCAGGTAGGACTAGAAGTCATCATAAAAGATTATATGCTCGTACAGCCAAGTAAAAAAATTCAACGATACCCTATTTAGCCCTCCCGCGTTCTGTGACAGAGATAGTGTTAAGCGCTAATCCTACTTTTCTATAGTTGGTTTGTAAGGATTACTTTTGTTTTTACCAGTTGATCACGGATTGATATCAGTTAGAAAACCATTGAAAACCAGCAGGGACTACTGGACAGCTGTTTCATCCCAGTTTGGGAATCATCGGCAGTACGCACCCACCACAGTAGGGGGTTCGAACCCAGGACCTTCCGGTTACAAGGCAAGGTCGTATACCATTCAGCCACTGGGAACCGATTCAATGCAGTCCATGAATTCTAACTTCTACCAATTCGTGATTTAGCGGTGGGACATCCATCCTTACACTTGACATCTGGATGGACCTCACTGGTCACGACTTCTCACTAGAACTGCAGGAGACTCCATCCTGTAGCAAGTCACTAGCGAGCATCAGATTAATTTTCAATAGTTTGGTTTGTAAGGGTTAGTTTTGTTTTTACGAGTTGATCAAGGTAGAAGTTAGAATTTATGGGCCATTGAATCGAGTCCCAGTGACTGAATGGTATACGAGCCAGCTTGCCTTATAACCGAAAGGTCCTGGGTTCGAACCCCACTGTGGTGGGTGCGTTCTGCCGATGATTCCCAAACTAGGATGAAACAGATGTCCAGTACTCCCTGCTGGTTTTCAATGGTTCTCTAGCTAAACCAACTACTGCTTACTATGTTGTTAACAAAATCATTGGCTCTTTTATCCACTCCTTTTCGTAATCTATGATGTCACTGTTTCAATTAACTTATTATTTTAGCTGTTGACATCATTATCAGTATTTTACACTTTTTGTACATTTCTGACTTTATTGTCATGGTTGATACTAAAAACGACTGCCGTTATCAATCAATCAATCAATCCTCGCTACGTATACCCTGTAATACAGGTTTTTTTTAAGGCATCTAGGTACTGAGTCGAAAGCAGATATGCAGTCAAGGAGGGTATACCTGAGGACATATTTCGCCCCTTTGTCTAAGCAGGAAACAATGTTGTGACGTAAGACAGCAGCATCTCTGCCCTGTTTATAAACAAACTGTTTGGTGTCATTAAAACGTTTTACATTGATTTATTGATTATTTAGTTAGTCAATAGGTTAGTCCGGCTGATTGTAAAAAGGAAAAAGAACTGTGTGATAGCCAGACTTTTCGCATTTATTAATAACATACATCATCATACCTAGGCAACATGATATTTTTGTTAAAGATTTGTCTATCTCTTTGTTTACTGTTTGTTATGTTGAATGTCTTATGATAATGAATACGTTTGTAGTGTTTACGCCTTTTCACTGAGATTATTTAATCTGTGTAGAATGACGTCACACACCGACACACGTGCGCAATAATTGTGTACAATATGAATACGTGAAAGCGTCTAAAAATGTTTTGCATGATTATTAACACGTTGTTACATAGATGTACTTGAAAGCTCCACGATGAAATTGTACGTTTATAGAGTGTAAACCCTGTTTTTGTCCTAATTTTTCAATGCTTGTCAATACTCGTCAAGAAAGTGTACATGGAAGTATAAAAAAGTACATGATTTCTTCGGCATTATAAACATTCACCATTCAGTCTTCAAGGGTTAGTTTGTAGGGGGATTTGATTAGTTTCAACTTTAATCGATAAGTGATATCAGTTAGAGAACCACTGAAAATCATGGAGTACCTTACAGGTTTTTTTCCTCCTGATTTGAAACTCTTCATCGGTACACATCCATAATGGGGGAAAAGAGGGAGGATGGTACCCAAGACCTTCAGGTTATGAGGAGAGGTTAATTGACCATCCAACTATTGGGACGAAACCCGCTGGTCGATTGTAACTTCTGTTAGTTGGCGATCTGATGCTCACCAGGGACCGACTACAGGGGGCGTGCCTGGAGTTATAGTAAAAAGTCGTCACTAGTGGAGTCCACCAGTTCAAGTGTGAGAACAAATATTCACCGATGACATCGGATGCAAGTGGTGCTAGAAATCTCGATTTCATCATTTAGTATCGAAAATCCAAACTTGACTATCATGGTGTTCAAATCACAGTTATTATTTGCAATTAATAGTATTCTCTGAGCTGGTTGGTTTAGTTGCGGAGCTTTCGTCGTCCCCCTTCTGGACAACATCCCCTTTCAGCGCAATATTTAGCATAAAGTGAACTGATTTAAATTTTTCATGAGTGATAGAATTGCGTCTCCTGGTAACCATCTTTACATATGTATTGATCATTTTTTATTGACTTGGATTTTAAACTTTCTGGTCACGTGATTTAATTTTTAATAGTTGGTATATTTGTTCTATATGAACGAGTTTGTTAATTGCATATTCGTTTGTTTGAGTACCAGGCTTCTAGGAATTCCCTGGCCCATTTGGTGTTTCCTCTGTCTAAGATTTCGACATTATTCCAATCAAACTGATGTCCAACAGAAAAAGGAGATAAGAATAATACCATTTACAAAATAAATTGTATGAACTGTAACAGACATTACATCGGTCAAAGTGGGCGTCCCCTCTTCGAATGAGAATCCAGGAACACAAATCAGCTGCGAAAAGACACGATATATATTCTTTCATATCAATGCATATAGATAATTATAGACATCAGTTTGATTGAGATAATGTCGAAATTTTAGACAGAGGAAGCACCAAAAGTGTCAGGGAATTCCCAGAAGCCTGGTACTCAAAACAAAACGAATATGCAATTGTATGGAGGATTTCATCATGAGCTGACATGTCAGCTCATGATGAAATCCTCCATACAATTAAACAAAATTCCTACCAAACCAATACTTGAATATGCAATTAACAAACACGTTAGTATAGACCAAAAAAACCAACCAATAAAAAGCAAATCACGTGACCAGAAACTTTGAAATCCACGTCAATAGAAAATGAAAGTGAAAGCATTCATTACACCGACCCCTGGATTAGAAATAGGAAGTGAAGTGGTAGAGCACTTTGACCGCTTCACTTACTTAGGATGTACCATCAGCCCCAACGGTTGATCGCTGACGAAATCTCAACACGAATACAGAGGGCTAATTTCTCATTTGCCAGTTTACTCCGACTGTGGCGTAGACGTGATATCTGACTATCGACCAAAGGGCGTGTTTACTGCTCAGCAGTCCACTCCGTCCTCCTTTATGGCTGGGAGACCTAGCCATTGAGAGTGGAAGACATGAAAAGGTTAGCTGTGTTTGATCATAGATGCCTGCGTTCTATCCCCCGTGTGAAGTGGTATAATAGGGTGAGCAATATTGAGGTCAGTCACCGGTCGAGTGCTAGGTAAGGAGGGAAAATCAATTGACAAGGCTGTGCAGCTACATCGACTGAGGTGGTTAGGACATGTGTTACGCATGTCTAGCCATCGCCTTCCTGGACTGACAGGCAATGTTAGCTGACATAGGATCAGGCTGAAAAAAGCTGGCGGTGATCAAACCAAAACATGGCACCAGTCAATGAAATCTACAACAGTTAGTTTAAGCCAGCCACGTAGGAAGGTGTAGA